CCCCCCCCCCCCCCCCCCCGCACTCGTCCATAATGGTCCGAATCAATGCGTATGTTTAAGTATCGAAGTGTGAGCAGCATCCGGTCATTGAGCTGAAATGTTAATCATTTGTCCACCCATCTTGTCATGATGTCTTTTTTTTTTTTACTAAACTTCTCGACATAACTGGTAGAATATTAGTCTGTAGATGAATCACCGCAAACGAGTTTGTTCACCTCCATGTGTTCTTCTTATAATGTGTAATGATGGTTTATTCGGCAAGTTGTGATTTCATAGGAAGAGGGAGGACGTACCAGAAACTGGACTCCATTTCGATTGGCCTGTCCGGCATCGAACATTTGTTGCACTTTCCACGAGCTGCGTGCAAGTGTGGCGACCATGTGAAGAAGCGCGGATGCGGTACGCACTTTGTGCAACGCGGAAACCGGTTTCTGTGACGTATCTGGTGGAGCTCGAACCGTCGTGGTAGTCGGTTTCAGTTGTGTCACGGGATACGAGGGTCTATCGAGTTCATCGTCCGTGACAACTGCATGTAATTGGACATCCGGAGGCACCAGATGTTCAGTGGTCGGGTGTATGTGGATCTCCATGTCGGAATCCAGTGTCTGAGTAAGTGTGTCTAACAACCGATTGGCCATTTGCTGCCGTTCTTCTCTGCAAATTGGGAGAAAACACGTATCGGTTAAGAAGGTTTCGGTAAAAAAAGAGAGAATTTTGAATAACATAGGCCAGGTAATTAGAAATTACCGACAGGTTATGACCCGGTTTCAAAAACGTTGCTGATCCTCTTAGACCGTTAAAAATAAACGCAAATCTGAAATCACTTGGGGAAAGGTACATCAATGGTTTAAGGAAAGGTGAACTGATGACGATGGCGATGATGTTGGTGGCGGTTTCGGGGTGGGAGGAAGGGGGGGTTGAGGGTGACAGTAGTGGTAGCACTTTCGTCGTCATCAAACGATTGAACTCGCTGTTACTAACGTGTATCGATCGGGTTGAACTCGTACTAGTACCACGCCATAACAATGCCACTGAGGGTTTGGATGGGTCGTTCACCAAAGTTTCAGGATCTGAAGCTATCGTTTTCCGCGAAAGATCAATAGCTCTTCGGACAATGATAGTGTTCACCTCTGCTTCCGATTGTCAGGTTCGACTGTCATACAAATATTATAAATAATATTCATAATGAAAATCTTTAAATCTGGACATTATTCTCTATGAATTTAGAAACTACTGTTTGTATACCAAAAGCGGAAATTGGCGAGTTTGTTTTCTTGAATAACTTTTTTATATCTTCCAGTCATTCGTCTGATAGGCGGAAACTGTAGTTATTTATCACCATGATTTATTGTCCACACGGACAATTCCCATCATCATTTCCATCAGCTTAGTACGAACAAACATTCAAATGTCTCGACTTCGCTTTACGGCTCACATGGTGAGGCAGCGTACTTAATACCTCCGTATGAGTCATAACATTTCACCCGGATTCTGAGGTCAATGAGTACGGCAAAGGTTGGAGCTGATTATCAATCCTACATGTTGGACAATACTCATTGGGAATTTGAATAGAAATGCCATAGAGGCAAAATGTAAATTTTCCCGGGAGATGTGGACGGGAGGGAGGGGGGAGGTATTAACTGTCGATAAAGTGCGCAGGACGGAAATTGGTGATGATCTATCCAAGCAATGTGTGAACTTCACCTCGTCCCACGACATGTCCTCCGCTGATTGACTCCTCGGGGTCATATCAGTGCGTCCGTTATTCACTCATCTGGAGTTGAACAGACAGACAGACAGACAGACAGACAGACAGACAGACAGACAGACAGACAGACAGACAGACACAAACACACTGGAAGGAGAGAAGGTGCACATCACTTCAATCACTCCAGTTACGAAAAGTAGCCCCATCAGATTAATCGTTTGAATGCAAAAGGTTATTAATTTTTAAAAAAATAACTTGAAACAGTAAACATTCACAGTTGCTCAGCTTTGCTTGCTACACGTACAGTACGAATCTCGTACAACTGTTGTAGCATCTAGAGTCCGGAAAAATCTGTCCTAGCAGAGCAATGAATGAGCCACAGATACTCCGACTGATTTGTTGAGAAGCACATTCTCAGAAGGCAATTCATGATTGTTTTCAGTCAGAACAGGGTCCGCATCTGTCCAGTCACTATTCTACGGATCATGGCCGACAATACGCACGAGTCTCGAACAGAGATTGCCTCCTCAACCACTCATCAAGAGTTACTTATATTCATTCCTTCTGTCGCTCTCCCGCACATTTTCGGCAGACTGAGGAGATCGAAAACAGACGGGGTGGACACACAGGAGAGGAGATAAACGAAAGCTAGTCTAAACGAGGAAGAAGATGTACGGGAACAATAACTGGAATCATCGTTATGTTACCAAATAAAAAATCTACCCAATTAAACACGGTGAATATTTTAAGAATAACAGTGGCAAAACAGAGAAGCCGCTCGACTGAGGATCAGTTTTATTAGCGCTGGACAAACCTTTTTCGAGCCACACGACTGAAAGGATTCATTTTCGCGATGACCCTCTATTGCTCGAGTGGGTAAACCAGAAACCTAGGCTCCAGGACAGACGTTGTGTACTGAACCGAATAACAGCTTTGCTGCGATAATCACTGAAATTGGGAAGTACTCACATGGATCGAACCCCGGGGCGTTCATCATTCAAGGAATAGTAAAGTGAATGAAAAATCCCTTCAGTCTAAACAAGATACCCCTTAGCTGTTCGTTTTTGCGGACAGGCTTTTCTTCACATGTGTTAAGAGAATGATGAGCGCTCGTGTATCCACTCAGGATTCTCCTAACACCACTCTACATCAGTTCTTCATCTTCCACTGGAATTTGCTCTCATCATTCCAATCTTGATCTTGCTCTTTTATCTAAATGGGTAGCCAAAAGGTAGTAACCAAACCCGGCGCACGAAAATGCATGGTTAGTGTTTGTCAAAACCGAGCTGAAGTGAACTGCTCAATCGAACTGCGGGGGAAAAAAGTGGGAAGCCAACAGGACCGGTTAGCGATTTGTCACCACTAGACGAAATACGCGTCGAGTACGGAGTTCATCCCATGGTCCATAGGGCAGATGTACGCACATGTGAGAGATTTCGGTGCGGAGTTTGGAGACGGGTCGAAAAAGATGCCTCATGCTAGCCGAGACCGAGTGCACAATGCAGTTGTTGTAAACAACACACAAAAGATCCAACTATACATCTACGTGTTTTCCAGGTTGGAGGAAACCACATGGAGGGCAACAGATGACGTGGCAAGAAGAAATGCACAGAACCATTGAGTACAGTAAGTGTGGCCCTTATTCTCGGTTGGTGTCCGAAGGACTCTGTAACTGGTTGGTTGGAGATACTGGAGGATACGACAACTAACCGACAGCAGTCAATTGGACGCAGAGGAGTGTACGGTCTGCAAGAAGCGACTTGGTTCAACACACACACGATTAGAGAAAAAGAGGTGACCCTCACGAAAAATAAATAAATAAAGCCTTACTCGGTATGACTCTGGATTTCATCTTTCAATCGTTCGTCAGTGAACACACTGGTCAAACCAAGAAAGTACTCCGGATCTACTTCGCGTAACGCCCGCGCATTAGATGCGAATCGTTGCAACGTGTTACCGAAATTCTACCGATCCGAGAGGGAAGAGGCCGGATGACCGAGAACAGAGGGACCGGGAAGGTGAGTGACGCGGGGCGGGTCCGGGGGGGGAATAGATAAGCATCCAAACAGATATGAGCACAATCAGAAACGGAAATCGATAACAGAAACGGAAAATATTAAGGTCAAATACCTCCATCACGCAGATAACTGACAAATAAGCGCAAGAGAGAGGGAGGAAATAAATCGATGAGCTAATACAACACCGAGTAAAGCCAGATGAGCGCGCATGAATAGATAGATAGACTGATAGGCAAGTATTGTATGATAAAATTTTTAATTCCGAAAGACCAAAATTAAAGAATTCTGTCGGGAATAACTAGCACCGCATGACAGATGATAAAATCAAAGTTTTTTTGCGCATTTGATTTTGTGAGTAAAGAAAACCACCTCAGACAGGTAATCGAATCTGATAATGCACCTGGACGGATATTAATCATCTGAAATTGATGTTCAATCAGAGGTAAATTAAATTTGGCACGGAAGATGTGAAGTAGACGTGTTTTCGAATGTTGCTACGAGTGGAAGAGAAAACTGTTAACAGGTAATTATGGATCGAAACTGCACTGTATCTGACCCCATTGTACATGGTTTACACGCTTTCCGGATGTTGGTTTGATCGGTAATTGACCTATATTTGAAAAAAATCGATCACTTGACTATTTCCAAGTTCTACCTTGATAGATAAATTCATGTTTTGCGATTTTCATTATTGCAGGACGTTTTTCTTTATTCCTGCTGATAGCATACCATACAAACAAACGGATTTCCAAAATTCACTGATTCTATTGGCTGACAGAGAACGTTTGACGAAGTGGGGTGAACTGGAATCAATTCGCATTGGAGCACATAAATTCTGCTCGTTTTCCGTGACTCTGTCGTAGAACAAACAAATTCATACAGGGATCTTTCGTCGAGTGCTAGTCTATCTGTCAATGTTAGTCTACCGTTTTGAGATAGACTGTTCGTCCACAAAGCTTTTACTACACTTAGAATACTATTCATTACCTCAGAGGTTTTGAGAAGGAACGAACTAGCACTGGAATCAAAAGCCGCGTTAGCAAATCATCCATCTGAGATCCAACCTGGAGCGCAAAAACATAGTGCCGACTTCGGATGAGAGACGCACATTCACTGGACAGATCTAGGTCAATGAGTGCTTGCAGTGAAATACCCCGGCAGGATTGAAACAGGTGAGTGAAATTGAATCAAAAAGATTCGAGGTTTCTCTCGTGAACAAGGAATCTGTTCGATCGACCAGCCTATCGGAACACAATGCAGTATATCATTAGTGACCCATGGAATGATTCATAAGATCGGATGAAATTAGTAAGCCCGTTTGCCTGCACTTCCGTGTAATATGACAAATTGATCGCAATTTGCTGCACGTTCTCCGGCCTAACTGTCACAGAACTGTATGCAGGACAATCCCGATCAGCTGATTTATTGGACGTGTTTCGGCAATTGGCATATTTCCTGATCTGTGATACATCTTTACCTCATCTCCTACTGTTCATACTGAGACAGATCACCTGATGCGGACTAGTTCCATAGTTGCGGTCAGCATCACATGGTTTGCCGATTCGTTGAATTTTCAGTAGTCTAAACCTTTGGTGAATGGTCTCTTTGTGTTCTGATCAAACCAGATGATGTTCATCTCATATCAGGCTGATCAGACATCCATTCTTCTACTCTATTTCAACCTGTTTCCGACTTGTATTGGTGTGTTCCCAATTCTTGTCAAAATAATTTTCATAAATGAGGATGAAACTGACAGAAACTGATCCCCTATAAAAGGACTTCAGTTTATCTCAATCCGCTAGAGCTGTATCGGTGAAAAACAAGCGATCTGTTGGACGACAAAGAGTGCTTGAACAGCTGTTTTGTCCCGGATGGAACCATTTACCATCCTAAAACTGGTGGCACCTGGTGTACCTGGGTCCGATGTACTGGGTGATTTGAAGGTTCAAACGATGTTCTGTGTCTTTTCATCCCTGGTTTTAAACAGTTATTTTTTGTGTTACATCTGACTGATTCAACAATAGTTAGAACTGTACCTCATGCTCAGACATTTTAAGTGGGTAACGTTTGAGCCACATTTTGTTCGCAGAAACATTGAGTCGTGTAAGGGCAATGTTTAGCTCGCAAGCGAGATCGATGTTGCCTGCACCAATCCACGTCACTGAGAAAGTACCATGGCGGCTCACACTGATGCTGCTGCTGCAGAGCACGTTCAGTCTACCTTTAGATGATCTGAGCTATACAAAAGAAAGAGTATGCATGAAATGGTTGTTGACGCCCTTGGATAACGCGCTTGGATGACGATGACTGACAAGGTTATTGTTACAGGAATCCATGACCGATAAGGAGCGCCGTTTGGTTATTCCGATGAAAAAGCATACATGCACCGAAACCCGGTTAGACAACACATGCAGATAGTCTGACAACTCGGATCCCGAAACACGTCAAATGTGCGGTGTGTATCACTCCCCGGTAATAGTCCGGCCCCACTTCCAGGCCGAATATCTTCAAAAACAAACCGTGTAGTGTGTAAAAATGATTGGTAAGAATAAGTGATCGGAATCGAATGGGGTTTTTTTTATCATGCTGCCACTGGAAATGATATCGATGTACACTAGTGATCGAGCACATCTGAGGAGGGCGAGGATGAAAATGATGTGATATGGTTTGTGACGTTTTCAAATGAATTTAAATTGAAACCGGGAACAGCCCGATCTCGGCATGCTTCGCGTGTACTGGAATTTTCTTTCTCCAGCAAACGGAGTCGGGGGGGGGGGGGGATTTTCTTCCCCCTTTGACCGATTGGGGCACAGGTGTCTAGATGGAACGTGGTAAACATGGGATTATGCCGATGTTACGCTAAAGGGAGGCTACATTAGAGGGAGAAACCGATTTCCAGATAGTGATAGGTATATATTTTACAAAATTACACACTCACAGGGTAGAATAATTGAGTACATATTGCGAGGTGTCCGTGTTGCTTGTTTGAATTCCACTATCCCTGATAAAGTTCCCTTATGTCCTGATGTGCTGGATCGGTCCGGAGCTCGTTCCAAGAAATGGACAGCAGAATTTTTAAAAAAAACTCACAAAAAGTGACCATTCTGATTATTTACCATAGAGACATTGGCTAAAGGATTCATGTGTATTCATTCGCTGTTTGGTATCCATGTTGATGAAAAAATAATCTTGATTACCTTTGACAAACTAGCTTGTTTTCAGTACTTTATCTTCTGGTGTTTGTGCACACAATGTGCACACAGCCCGAAAACGCTCACTCGCTCGCCTTATCAATCAGCAAGTCAAACCAACAGTGGTTTAGTGGTTTAGTCGTTGTCACCAGCGTGCTTTGAATCCTGTAGCCCAAGGTTCGAACCCCATCACTGTTACCCTACCTTGGTGGTAGGCAGCTTTGCTGTCGTCCGTTCAATATCACGCCTGACCCAGCGGGGCCTTATATGGTTCGCCACGACAAATCTTGGGGCTTAGGTTGTCGGTTCCCATCACTGAACAGTAGGTCTTCGTGACCATGGAGTTCACCCCATCTGCTGTTCATCACACACATATTCCATACATATCAATTTCAGCGAGATCGTTTTGTTTTTAGACATCCCACGCAGTCAAGATATAGCCAGAAAAACAGGATTCTACAGTCAAGGTAGTTCCAACAGAAACGTGTGCTACAGAATAGGAATAGAGTGAGCCTAGAATCCGTTTCTGTTTAGTAGCTTGATCTGCGGACAAATAGGCTAGCTACAGTAGGCTAACTTACTCAACGAACGACGTCGTGCTTTTGACAGCAAAAAAGAAATGATTTAAGCCGGGATTTTGTCTAAGATTTATGAAATGGCATAATCTAAAAAGTATTTTCTTGTGAACCAGTACAAATTGGAAATTGCCCTTTCGTTTTAGGGATCCTCTCAATTTCTATAACTTTTAGGTCTGACAAGCATCGTACCCAGAAGTGACATAAACCTCTCAAAGGAATACGTTGATCGTTTCTTTTCTACACACATGCACGTGATACGATGCATGATCCATTCACGTGACCAAAACTGAGTCTACAAAATTATCAACACAAGAGAAAAGGGTATGGTCCTGTATCAATTGATGAACAGTCCAATTTCGATAAGGCCGCTACCCGTCATCTTAGCTTCTGTCTCTGAAAATATTCTGACAGTCTTTGAAACACCGCAACCATCGGTTGGGATATTTGAAGTCAGTTTGGAACGATTCAGCTGAAGGGGGCATCATTTTGTCCCGGAGAATCAGATCCGAGGTACCGGCTTTCGACGATTGCTCGAGGATAAAATCAGCACCAAATAGTGTAATTGATGAGGGGCGGGGGAGATTACACTACTGCCGGGCAAACATTTTCGATTGTTATTTGGTCCCTGCTCTGCTTTCACGAAATGTTGATGCTTTGTGTCGTGGAATCAAACTGATCCAATTGACTTTAAAATTCTCTATTTTTTATTACACTTTTTCGTGTGATGAACAGCAGACGGAGTGAATCCCATAGTCACGAGGACCTGCTGTTCAGAAATGGAAACCGATGATCTAAACCCCGGGACTTGGAGTGGCGAACAACATAAGGCCCCGATAGGTTAGGCGTGGTATTGAAGCGGACGACAGCAGAGCTGCCTACCACCAAATTCGGGTGGTGGTGGCGGGGCTCGAACCTTGGATCATAGAGAAGAGACTGAGACAGATCATCGTCCACTTTGTGCAGTAAAGGGAATTGCAGTGTAACAGTTAGGTCCTTACTCTGGTTACGACCGGCATGTGCGCAGCAACCACATCGAGATAGCGACCATCTGTTTTATGAAAGCCTATAGACGGTAGCTCAAACGCCTAAGTAACCCGAAAAACCAGGAATGTAGCATAACGGAATAATAACGAGTCACGTGACAATTAATCCTAAGACCAGGGGGAAAGAGGTCAAGCAACGGAGATAGGACAGAGTTCGCATATAGTGTGTACTTGGTCATACCGGTGTGTGTGCGTGTGTATGCGACGATGTGCTCGATCGCGCGTGTGTATGAGTGTCGACCGGACAGAATGCATTGGTCTGTAGCGAAACAGAGAGATGATGGATAATATGTGATCTTTCGACAGCGCCTGGGTCCAATTGCTGTTGGTGTATATCACGATCCTCTCCCTTTCGCATATTGAAATATTTTCCTATTTGTAATCTTAAAAGTAACTTGCTTCCTACGTAGTTGCTTGAATTTGCCTGACGGCAAATGGATTCCGGAAGGGGATAAGCCGGTTTCATGGATATCTATGTAGACTTTACTTGAGAATGATGTCTTTTGCCTCGAGAGCTGGGTGCATGTGATCGTCCCGTGAGTGTGGCTTGAAACACGGTCAGTTTGCCTAAAATTTCGATAATCTTGGACTACGGACGAAAACTTTGCCAACAAACTACGCAACTGATTGGTCGTT